TAATTTCTTCATTTAAACTTTAAATGACTAAAGTAATATGAATTTTTCATTGTAAATAAAAAAATCTAAAGAAATCAGACTGTCTTACTTTTCTTCTATAAAGATTTATAACACATACAGGTATACAGACTATAAAATGAATAGCTGTTGCCTGGCTGCGTGTTTCATTTTCTTGAAGGATAAGATATATGTAATATGGAAAAATACACAAATCACAAATAACATGGTCAATGAGTTAATCCAAAATAAAAATACATTTATAAATACCATCTAGGTGAAGAAATACAACATGACCATGATTCTCTCTGCTTACATTGCTTCTCTCTCACTCCTCTTTCCCTCCCCCATGTGGGTATAAAAGGTCTCCTGGTAATTCTAATGGGCCATGCTATGGTCTTATTATCTACTTTTTCACTTTGTTTCCTTCATAGACTTTTTTTTTTTGCAGTTTTTTGGCTGGGGCTGGGTTTGAACCCACCACCTCTGGTATATGGGGCCAGGGCCCTACTCCTTTGAGCCACAGGCGCTGCCCCTTCAAAGACTTTTTTTAAAAGAGAGAAAAAATACTTTAGGCGTGAGGATTATTAGTCTCTCTGGTATAATAATATTAACTATAATAACTAATATTTTGAGTTCTAGATGTATACTCACAGGTTATATTTGCAGTTACAAATGAATGCTATATTATGGCCACACGTTTTTAAACCATCCCTCACTCGGTATTCAGCTTTAATTGCTAAAACTAAATTAAACTTCACTGATTTCCACGCCACCTGATGGCATTCTATTCAACAGAGACCCTGAGCAACAGATGGCAAAGGCTGCCATATCCTAGAACAAGGGAAGTGGGCTGCAACACGGAGGAGCCGGAGGTGGTCAGCGCCAAGGGTGTGACTGTGTCCACTGGATTGCTCTGGGGCAACCCTCGCCGGCCCAGGTGAGAAAGCCAGCCTGCTTTCTGAGGGCTGAGACTGTGGTACTGGTGTATTTCTTTACTTAGATGGTATTTATAAACGTACTTTCATTTTGGATCAACTCATTGACCATATATTTGTGATTTGTGTACTTTTCCGTAGTATACACATTTTATCCTTCAAGAACATTGAAACAGGTGGTCAGTCAACAGGTATTCATTTTATATTCTCTATACCTGTATGTGTTATAGTGCTGAGTGTTTTGAAATGCTGCCTCAGGGAACAGCTTAGGGACATGGGTGACCCCAACATAACAGTGGGCTGCAAGGCTCAAGGAACTGAGGGATCATCCAGAGCCATCCCGAGAGATGCTCTGCTTGTGGTGTCCTTAAGGTGACTGCAAAATGCTCCTCAGAGTGTCAGCCTCACAGATCTGCCAAGCCCAAGGAGCTCATCAGGAAATGCCCACTGATTTCAATGGAGTAGCGAGAATGTTTCTGTTGCTACCAGTTCTCTCTCTTTCTACTGCCCTGCAACCCCAGATCAGGGAGAGACAGACTCAAAGTGGGGTGAATGGGTGGTTAAGGAACAGAAGGTCTAGAAAAAAAAAATGAAAAAACAAGAATCTCGGATGGATCTCCTCTCCTAGTCAGTAGATTTCAGCTATGCTATTTGAGGGCAGCTAGCTTCTGGAGAAATTCTGGAAAAATTTTTTTAAATAAGATTTGAAAAATTTGACTATAATATAGAATCAAACATTTTAATGAGTTCATGTGTACGTGTGTGTTTGTGTGTGTGTTTATGACTGACAATGACAGGAGAGCTTTTTAAAAGATCTAAGTATGATGAGAAAAGTCACAGGGCCTGCCTGAATTTTTAGCCAAGGGAGTTGCAAAGAGCCATCAGGCCACAGAATAGCATTGAGAAGGCAGAGGGGGGGAATGATTAAAATTGTTTTCTGATTATATCTGATGAGCCCTGTTGATCTACTACAGATGTCCTCAAACTACGGCCTGCGGGCCACATGTGGCCCGCCTAGGACACTTATCTGGCCTGCTGGGTGTTTTTGCTGCCACTGCCTGTCCTGCTTAGCAGCCGACTTTTCCCAGGGCCCACAGTCCAGCCCTCCAATGGTCTGAGGGACAGTGAATTGGTCCCTTGTTTAAAAAGTTTGAGGACCCGTGATCTACTATAATGGTTGTATCAATACATTGGCTACACTAATAATTCAATATGGGGGTTCTCACGTCTACCATGACAACTGTGCTGGCACAATGGTGACTGTCTAAGCCTGTGCTGGGGGAAGGGGCACCTCTCAGAGCTTTAATAAGTTATTTGGGGAGATGAAAAAAAGCACACTACCAAATACTTGAAATTGTCATTTCATCACAAGAAACCGATGGAGTAAGTTCTATTATTATTCCTCTCACCTGGGAGGTGGGGGACAGGGAGACTGAGTTGTAGGGAGTCATGGTTACGTGGCACAGTGGACCACACCTGAGACACTAATGAGGAGGATTCAGGGGCAGGTGTTCAGTCTGTGCTGCTCGCCCTCTGAACATCACACTCTGGAGCCTCCGTTCATCTCTGCTCTGTCTGTAAGAGGAGACGATGTACTGGTCTTTTTCTTAATACAGAGGCATTTTCATAATGGAGGTGGGGGGGGTTGATTTTTCTAACTCACACAATTCTCATCTACTTCCTAAGTATTTCTCTACCCAAAAAGTTGTTCTAAAAACAGCTAGAGGAGTTCCTATGGTACAACCTGGACTCTGCCACAGACTTAATTTTACTCTTTACAGAGCCAAACCAGTTATTCTTTTGACCATATAAAAATACTAAGATGGGGGCCATAAAAGGCAGGTCTGCCCTGGCGTCCTTTCAAGAGGCTCACACCTGCCATCTCCAGAGTAACTCTGTGCTTGTGGAGGTGTGTGCTTGGAGATTTGGAGCACAGAGGCAATTGTTCTGATGCCTGAATTCTCACAAAGTTTAGCCAAAACCTATAGGTACCTGTAGGCTAGTGTCAGTACTGGGATTTCTCCTTCTCTTTCCTCCACGTCACAGGTCTTCTAAAGAGGAAGAAAGGACTGAGTTTAAGAGTCCTGAAATAACAGCCCTATTATAAGTCTTGGCATTCTCCCACTTGGAAGTTTATTCTTTCCTTCTCTATACTTTTTAAGTCCTTGCTCTTTTTTGCATCATAGAATGTCGTATTTGGGGGATTGTAAACCATACACTCTTACTTGTTCCTACCTATCACAACCTTCCTGCCCAGTGGGGGAAAACGGTCCTGCCCTCTTTCTGCCGTCTTCCCTTTTGATTCCTTTTGCCAGAGGAGCAAATAGAATAAGCCTCAGTGAGACCCCAAGGTCATCGGTTCCTGCCTTTGGGCTTGGACATATAAGCTACCTACGCCAATCACGAACCTGTATTTAAAAAAGCCTCCAATCAGAGAGAACGCACTGCTGCTTTTTGAGAACTGTTGCCCCATGCAAGCTCACACTATAAATGTCCTTCCCTATCTGTGTGCACTCTTATCTCACTGTTCTATTTTTTCCCTCATTTGTATTAACCCTTTCTTACCGTTTTTTCCTGAACTTTTAGGCCTTCTCTTCCTAGAACTGGTGGGAGACAAATGCTATTCTGTAAACGGCCAAGATGGTACGGTGAGTAGTTCCTGGCAATGCTGGCGCTCTAACCCCAGGCTACGTGGGACAGACAGACACCCCAGGGGGATGGCATTCCTGTTTTTACAAGTTATTTATTTGCCTGCTGCCGCTGCTCCTCCAAGCTAAACAAACACTCTAGATCCTTTTTAACTTCATGACTGACATTTCTGAGTCTGTTTGCAATCGGGACACTAGAGGGCTCCCAGGGGTTAAAAATAAGCGGAACGGTATTTGAATGAAAACTGATTCAGCACGGCATCTTTTCTCAGAATTTAAAGTTTATTTTTTAACTATTTTTTTTTAATTCTACATCTTAAAACGGGGCATAGCCAGTTTACAAGTAACCATTTTGCTTTGCGATCAGTCGTTTCCAAGGGAACTTTTAAAGCTGAACTGAAATGTTTGAAATGTGGAACACTCTTGACCATGAAATATGCTCTACTTACATGCCTCAGCCTTTAAAAGTTCTTTGCATTAGAGTCAGGGATTACATTCTTCCTGGAGCCAAGCTTGGGGCCAGCTGTGTAAGTAAGGTTGCTTGTGAGTTTCTTCTTTTGCTTTTTAATAGTGAAAAAATAGTGCTAGAGATGCTTTGCTTTTCTTTTAACTGACTTTGGTGGGGGAAAAAAAGGAATAAAAAGCTGTGGGATGGATTTGTGTTGTCTGTGCGTGTGTGTGATTGAATAAATAGAACTGTTTCCTATAATATATAGCTTTATTTTGCACTAATATTTAATGTTAGATAATGGAACATATAACACATTGTACCATTTGATTAAGAGAATATATTCCTGAATTTGTACATTAATACTTGGTCCTTCTGGCTGATTATTTAAGGCAGGACTTTTAAAGATACATATGGGATATTATAGATTATTTTAAACTATCTATTACTTGTCTTGAATGATTTCTGAATTTTAAAAAGGAAAGCTTTGGCTTCAGAATCAACTTAAATGACTCTAGTTATAAAATATTCTTGGATTTTTGCAACTTATTTTTCACTACTTCGACTGAGTATCAGATCCATTTATCTTATTTCCATTTTTTAAGTTTGGTTTTATTTTTTAGCATTTAGTAGTGGTATTTATGAAAGGAAAGGGTTACTTTTTTTCTTTAATCTTTCAGAGGAACTGAAGTGCTTTGAGATTGTGACTCAGTTAACTCTGTTTCCATTCATTCCCAGAAACAAGCCACATTTTTCCTTGGGGAGTCTGATCGTATAAAAGATTTGTTGTTGCGAGTGTCAGAAACATTCCCAAGTTCATCACCAGCTCTTTCCTGCCACCTCTACCCACCGGAGACCACTTAGATACCAAAGCAGACCGGGTGGCTGAAAGCAGGAAACGATGCATCGTGTCAGCGGGAGCCAAGTGCAGACCTTAAACTCTGTTCAACATGTGGATGCGGCTGAGAAATGACCTGTCCAGACAAGCCGGGGCAACTCATAAACTGGTTCATCTGCTCCCTGTGCGTCCCACGGGTGCGTAAACTCTGGAGCAGCCGGCGTCCGAGGACCCGGAGAAACCTTCTTCTGGGCACGGCTTGTGCCATCTACCTGGGCTTCCTGGTGAGCCAGGTGGGGAGGGCTTCTGTCCAGCACGGACAGGCGTCTGTAAAGGGGCCACACGGTAACCATGACACTGCGGAGGTACCCTTTCCTGAGATACCCCTGGATGGTACCTTGGCCCCTCCCGAGACCCAGGACAACGGGACCACGCTAAAGCCCAATGTAGTGTACATTACCTTACGCTCCAAGCGCAGCAAGCCTGCCAATATCCGTGGCACCGTGAAGCCTAAGCGCAGGAAAAAGTATGCAGTGGCGTCTGCGGCTCCGGGACAGAAGACCTTGGTTGGGCCATCCCTTCAGCCGCAGGAAGCTGCCAGGGCAGCTGATGGGGCAGTGCCCAGGTACGCTCAGGGAGGAAACCTGGCCAAGGTTGGAGAGCGACCCTGGAGGTTGGTGTGGGGTCCAGGAGTGCGCGCAGGGGGCTCAGACTTCCTGCAGCCCAAGGCCAAGGAGAGTAACATTAGAATTTACAGCGAGAGCGCCCCCTCCTGGCTGAGCAAAGACGACATCCAAAACATGAGGCTGTTGGCGGACAGCGCAGTGGCAGGCCTGGGGCCGGTATCCTCCGAGAGCGGGGCGCGCTTGCTGGTGCTGGAAGGGGGCCTGCCTGGCCCAGCACCCAGCTGTGGCCCGAGCCCCTGTGGATTACTCAAGCCTCCTTTGGACATGAGCGAAGTGTTTGCCTTCCACCTAGACAGGATCCTAGGGCTCAACAGGACTCTGCCATCTGTGAGCAGAAAATCAGAGTTCATCCAAGGTAACAGATTTCACATGCGTTGTTATTTGCAGCTGTTGGGAATTTGGGTTCATTTTCTCTTTTCCCTTACTCTCTTTTTCTAAATGATTTCCCTCCACCCATGTTTCCCATTTGGAAGCAGCGGCAGCAGCATGTCTTTCCACACGCAGGGCGTACTTTATTTTCCCGGCCTGGGAGGATATGAGAGTTCCAGAGAAGTGCTGTACCGGGCGTGCTGGAGTAAGCCCGTCCTGTGTGATCTTTGCTCTCAGTCTCTGCAGCCCTCGCTGCACTTCCCAGTGGCTCATTAAATCTAATTAAGGCCAATGGCGATTTACGTGATGAGGAGAGGAAGCTGGGGTGCAGGCAGAGACCTTGCTGACGGTTAGGCACGCTATTAACTAGTTGCTACCAGAGGAGGTAGCACTTCATTCTTGGAAGTTTTTAAAAGTAAGGGGGAAGTGGGTTATCTTTCTTGACTGGTTGGAATCTTTTTGAGGGGCCCAGAGCTAGATCTTGTTATATTCAACCTCTTGAAGTATTTTTTTTTTTTAAACAATGTGTTTAACCACTGTATTTATCAAATAATGGGAATGAGGGAAAGATAGGTGATTTACTAAGAACGTATACTAACTGGCCATAACTGTGGTGAGGTTGAGTAAGCCTGATTTCCAAGATTCTCTTCTTGGGTGACAAATGTTCTGGCAGAGTCTAGAATATGCAGCCAATTACCGGAGTTGGAGGAGAAAGGGTTGGTTTGGGGTCATGCTCATGCCACATAGGGGGCTGCCTCTGACTTTTAAGGCTGCTCCATCCAGGGTTTCAGTATAAAGTATCAGTCAGCGTTGGAATGCAGAAAAGATCTCCTGAGTTACAACCATGAATACTGGCTAACCCTGGAGGCTAAAAAGTGCCCCCAAAGAGACTATAAACTCAAAGAATATTCCCTTTCTCCCTGTTACCATAAAATTTAGCTTTTCAGTGAGGTTCCCAGGGACCCTAGAATGGAATGGATTCAAAACCCTGGGAGTGGCTGAGAAGTAAAAATGCATTTCCGATATCTTATAATTTAGTTTTAGAATGGATCCTCCTTGAAGTACCAGTGATTTACTTAGAAAAATTTTGATATTCTTTGCTTATACTGGTTCATTTCCAACTGCTCCAGACTCATTGGCACGTTCTGAGGCTGTAGGTTCATAAAGTAGTCCACCACAATTATGCCCATGTGTGTAAGGCTCTTGAACATTTAATCTAGTGTTGGCAAAAGCTAATCTGTATTGAGTAGCTCAGTAATTGTGAAGCATCATCCTAATTGGTTCCTGTAGTTTGTGCGTGCATTTGGCTCCTGTAGTTCTCATAACAATGCTATGATGTTGGTGCTACTATTATTTCCATTTATTAAATGAGAAAATTGAGGTTTCTGTAGGCAAAGCGATTAGCCTCAACTCCCACAGCTGATAAATGCCTAAGCTGGGTTTTGTACATAGGCTTAGCAAACTTCTGAACATAACCTCATAACTACTGGATTTAGGTGAATGTGTACTTGGTCATCCAAACTGCAGCACTCTGGAGAGAAAGGCGATATTGGTAGGCACTGAGGCGACAGGCATGGGCTCTCCCTCATTATGCGACATTGCCATTCACGTTCATGTCTTAAAGGCAAGAGAAGGTGAACTCTTGGGTGTATCCTGAGGAAGTCTTCTCTGCTACATCCTTTGAGCCTTCTTCAGATGCTCTTGGATGGAAGTTGGGATCATAAAGTCCTGATTAAGAGCTTGGGCTCTGGAACTGGACTGCCTCGGTTTGAACTTACCAGTCATACAACCTAGAAATGTTACAGTATCTCTTTATGCCTCAGTTTCTTCAGCTATAACACGACAATGCTGCCTACCTCATGAGGCTGTTTTTAGTTAATACATGGAACACACTTAGAACCAGTTGTTGGCAATAGGTAAACCTGCAATAAACGTTGGCCATAATTATTACTACACCAAGCACATGAGATGCCAAGTTCACTGAGTTACTCACATGGCCTCCAAGTCTCATATGTCATTTCCTCATGTGATAGGACTTTGGCTAAAAGCAAGGTCTTCTCGTTTTTCAATTAAACCTTTTGTTATGAGGATTCCTCTTTGATATTTAATTCTGTGTTCTGAATTTCCATCATTTTTGAGACTAAAGATTCAATTTGAAGGAGGGGATTATAATCCCAATATGCCCTGGGTATTTCTCTCTCCATTCACATATGAATGATGATGAAAAGAAACCAGGACAGTCATACCGAAATAATTCAACTGGATAAGTTAAGAGGTAAATCCCTAAGATTATACCTCAAAGGATACCAGGCCTTTCTTTACTCTCTCTTTGATACCTTTTCCTATTTAGTCATTGAGAATCACATAGTCAGGCCAGTTTCCTCGGGAACCCATGAAATGATTTACATGAAGTTATAAACACTGTACACAATATGATTCTACTTAAACGGATTGTTATAGTTATGCAAAAGACAGACCAGTTCTGGTAGACAATGCTCAGTTTCTCTCTAGTCTTTTCCTCGCCTGTGTCTTTCTTCCCCTCATTTCCACAGAAATGTGTCTTTTCCTACTAGGACTCTTCTATTCTTCCCTGGTCAAAGCTTTATTTGGATCTCTCTGTCCATCCAAGGAAGGAATGGATCTTATCTGGTTACCCAGCACCTTTTTTCTGGCTCACTTTATATCATCATATTAAATACTATGATATGTATTTGTTCTATAATTATTTCTTTGATCATCTCTTCATTCCCACTGGTCTCTAGGTCTGTGAAGGTGGAGCTATCTTCTTCCATCTTCTTTAGCTGCATTTCTGGATCTTAATGGAGAGTCTGGCACTTAGTAGGTGCTCAGTAAATAGTTTGAATGAATGCAGAATGCATTCTTGATTTTTTCCCAGTAACTTGAAACAATAAATTTATATTAGAAGACTCCAGATTCTAATACTCAAGACAAGTACTACCATTTTTAGTTCTAAATCCAGGCTGGGCTTTCTCTTGGAGGATTTCATAAAGAGTGAAATAAAGAAAAATGTCCTTGGCAGCCTCCTATAATGCAAATAATAGATTTATAGGGCTTATTCCTGTGAGGACCATCAACATGCTGGGTTGGCATCATTCTTTAGTGTAATTTAACAGTGGGTTTTCTGCAGGAGGGACAATGGAATTTAGTGTAGGTAATATATTTCTCCGATGATCTGGCTTGGTCTAGGAGTAGATCTTTTAATATCAGAAAGAACAGATAGCCAGAGAATCCTGTAAGTAGTCTGTCTTAAATGTTGAGTCTGTCTTCTGAATTTTGATTGATGTTTATGTAAATAAATTTATCTCTAATACCAAGAAAGTAGCTAGTTTGTATTGCAAGTTTAATGTGGCTATTTGGATTATCTCAGCTAATCTTTCCAAGAAACCTATAGAGTAGACATTTTTTAACGTCAAATTAGAGATGGAAGAATGGTAAGATGACTGTTCTTGGTCTTATAATGATATAGTTATCCAGGAAGAATTGTTGCCTTCTACTTACCAAGTCTTTCTTTCCTGTTTTCATCAATCTATTCCCCTCAACAAGTTATTTAAGGGTCTCTAAGGTGTATCTTCTTTCTCTGTCACCACAGCCTACTAGTATATTTAGTTATGTAGTATAGTGAAACAAATGACTTACATATTGGTGGACAGATACGGGCTATGAGAACTTTTTTTTTCTCAAGGAAACAAAACAATCTTAACTGTAGCTACGAGTTACTGAATGTGCCTATATTCCGGGTAACATTCTAAGCACTCTGCTTGGATTATTTCATTAAATCCTTACAAAGTTTTTTTCTACCAGGTGCATCCAGTGGTTTTAGAGCCTGGGAACTCCATGAAATTTAACAGACCTGGACATTGAGGCCCTAAATAATTGAGTCCCTTGCTCAAGGTCATACAAATGGCTTGAAAATAAAATGACTATATGAGATGTAAAGGGAGATGTAAAAGAGAATCAAACACTGTGATTTGAGTGATTTGCCTGCCCCCAGCCTCTCTCCGATGAAGCTTTCTGTTGATTCACTCCAAAGATCAAGAGTCCCATTTGTGAAGCTTATCTTCAAGGTTTTAAAAATTGGTAAAACTGGTGTGGATGATCCAATAGGCACAGAGCTGCCAGCTCAGCTTAGTCTGGGACAAGCTCCTGGTTGTATAACTGGCTGAGTTCTAGATGATTCTCCTTGAATATTAAACAATACGTGTGAAATTAGTGGACTTTACTGTTCTCAGGCTATGCAACAGACCATGCTGTATCAGGTTTTACTCTAGAGAGAACCAAGAAAGTGAGAAGTGTGTGCTCAGGGAAGGGCAAGGCAGGGAGGGCCCCTGGTGTAGCACCAGGTAAAACCCAGCAGCGGTCTCTGGAGCAGACTCTCATTCTGTGTATGTCTTTGTAGGAAGTTGAAAAAAGAACTAAAATATGATGTCAAAGTACCATTAAAAATCCCTAACAATGAAATTTTTTTCAATTGTGAATTTATAAAGACTCCAATGTTACACATCACACAGTGTCTATACCATTTTTGGTATCTTTTGTCTAGTAGCACCACTTAATTCTACATAGCAGACAGTACTGTTATTTTATTTGTTTATTTTTTAATTAAAACATTGTTTTTATTTTAGGTTAACACGAGGGTTTAAACAACCACGTCACAATATTTGAATTCACTAGATAGTGTCCCTCTTGTAGTTGTGCCCCGCACCCAAAAGGTGTGCCATATATCCCCGCATTGTGCCCATTAAGTGGGAGCACACCATTCCCCCCACTCTTTCCCCCTTTCTCCTTCCTCATTCCCCCTCCTCCCAATTTGAAATGAATTAAGTTTTTCCCCTATGTGCACATGAATTAGATCATCTACTGGCTTCATATTGAGCACATTGGATACTTGCTTTTCCATTCTTGTGATACTTTACTAAGAAGAATGTGTTTTAACTCCTTTCAGGTAAATATGAATGATGTAAAGTC